CCCCAAAACCCCAAAACCCCAAAACCCCAAAACCCCAAAACCCCTGAAATGTAAATTTAGTTGAAATTCTGATGGATTAATATACCTCTGAGATTTTTATTAATGGATTCATTGTCAATCCGCTGCAACATCCCTTTAGATGCAAGAATTTTACTCTTCTTTATACCCAGGATATCTGAAAATGGCCCCTGACCAATAGCCTTGGATGTCTGAGGGTGGAGCCTAGCATCAGAGTAGCTCTTAATGTTTAGTACATTTAGTGGATTCTCCATTCTCATTGGTTTCTTCCTCTGGGAAGTGATTTGGAATAGAAACTTCTCTACATCGATATCACCTGCAAATTTCTGGGTAGAGTCAGACTTTTTAAACATTTTCTGATTTTTCTTAAATTTTATCTTCCTATTTTTGTGAGTGACTTGTCTTAAGACTGGCAAAATTTTTCTTATATTTTAGCATCTGTTGGGAATTCCTCCTGCTCTTGTATTGGCTCTGGATATTTCTCCCATTCTTTTTAGATATTTCATAATATATGTTTGAATCAAGATCTTCAGATCCTTTACGAGGATGATTAGCATGAAAATTCTCCATAAAATTAAAAGTTTTGAGTTTAAACCTTCTTTTCGAATCTTGTGTTTTTGACCTTCAAGATTTTCCTGTTTGCTTCATCATTTTAGCTTGGTACATTTTAATTCTTTCTAACGCGCTTCTTTTATTATCAAAATCTTGGAGAGCCTCTTCAAAGGTATTAACCAAGGCTGTAAATTAATACTAGATACTCACAACTAACTCTCGAGGACTTTATCTCTGGCTTCACTAAATTTTCAAGCTCAATATTTAAAGCTTTGGGCTTTGTAGCTTGGGACACACAAATATCAGCTTTAATTTTCAAACTGTGAAGGTCAAATTGTTCTGGATTTATGTCTAATTGCTTCTTCCTAACAGCTGTATGATCTTCGAACGTGCTTGTCTCCAAAATCTCAGATTGTAAATTTGTGTTGATTTTAATCTTAAGAAAATCGGTCGATTCCTTTTTGCTATTTCAATACAATTAAAACTACTCTAAAAACTCAGAATCTCTTAAATATAGCAATCCTAGCCACTCTTTTCAGATTTTTCTACCCTGAGTAAGCCAAAGATGCTTATTGAGTCCAAAAATCTCAGGCTGTTAATCTTTAAGGAGGTATAATGCGTCTCATGATTTTGCTTACTTTAACTCTTTTATTCCCTCCAGCCCATTCATTAGAGTCTGGGCAGGTCTGACACCTGAGTTTATGGGTGTCGAAGTCTGATCAGTTTTTCAAAGAACTTGGTCTTGCTTGATTTCAAAATGAGGGATTTCAGTAGAGTCTAGACCCATGAACACAAACAAGGACAGAGGCTCAAAGAGGAGCCTAAGATTGTAAAACAGAGTTGTCACAGTCTCCATAGCACTACATCTCCTTCAAATTCCCTTCCCTAACTTCCATAATCCCTCCTTACCATCCCCTAACCCTCCTCTCTCCTTCCCCTCTAAAATTCCTCCACCCAAACAACCTCATTTCAAACATCCCAAAATCCATAACAAATCTGCCTATTTCTGGCTTCCACATTTCAGCAGAAATATTAGTGTGGATAAGTTAAAACTTTGAAAAATCAGCGGACGAATAAATTTAGAATAGATTTTATGAAGAGATTATTTGAAAATTGTAGGAAAATTTATGAAATTTTAGGGATTTGTGAAGTTTAGAATGAAGATTTTAGGGGGTTTTAGGGGAAGATGGATGGAGATTAGGGGAGAAATGGAATTTTAGGAGTTTTAAAGAGATTTACCTATGTTTAGCATGTGTTCTTTGTGGGTGATTTTGTTGGGTTTGGGCCGCACCACAATTTGTTTCTTTAAATTTGTATTTTTAGATTCTGAATGAGATCCTTTGATAAGAAAGGCCTTTTTCTCTTCATTATTCTTCTTGATATCTTGCCTAAGGTCGTCAAAAATTATTAAATACCCTTCACTATTTTTCCTAGTCTTATTGCGGTCAAGGCTCTGAATATTTCTTTTCTGAATGTTGATTTTAGCTTTGAGATAATTGCTTCACACAACCCTCCTCTGTAGAATTTGTCCTAAATAAATTCTTAGTAAAATACACACAATAGAAAACCATATGCTAGGACTTACCGTTAGACTCTTCCCAGGGAGATAACTGGGACTCTTTAGAAAACTCAAGTTGCTTCAACTTGACTGGCTTTGGAACTGGTGGCTTCGCAAATTTGCTTTTCTTATTAAAATTTTCTCTAAATCTTTTCAAGCCAGTCTTCCCATTTATAGGCTTATTATCATTATTTTCATATTTTAACATTTATTTTTGGAACTACCTCTAATGCCGCTATAGGTGTAGCTGGGCTAAGGTAAGTCTGAGAGAAGTCTGTGTTAAGTTCGAGAGCACTTGATGAAGATAACTCAATCAAGGTTTCTACAATTTTGTTTTCCATTTCTTCACTATCGCTCATTTCAATATTATTTACAAAGTTAGGGGTTTTGGGGTTTTGGGGTTTTGGGGTTTTGGGG